TTTCAGCAATTCCATTTTGTTGAGGAGAATATGGTGCTGTAGTTTGGTGAATAATGCCATGTTGTGCACAAAATTCATTTAATGGTGCATCATATTCACAACCCTTATCACTTTTAACCATTTTAATGGTTTTACCAAGTTGATTTTCAACTTCTGTTTTGTAGAGTTTAAACATTTCTATCTTTACTTCTAAGTAAATAAACATAACAATATTTTGTGCAATCATCGATAAAAGTTATGAAATACTTTTTGCCTCCTCTAGTTTGAATAAATTTTAGATCACATACATCAGTATGAATTAATTCTAGAGGTTCGGTTTTCATTTCAACCGATTTAAATGGAGCCTTAGTTAGTTTCGTTTCTACACAAACTTCACATTTATGATTAGGATTAATTTCAAAATTTGGTATATAATCCAAACCAATTAATCTATGCAAAGCATCATAATTTACATGTCCTAATCTACCATGCCATAAATTCGACTCAAGAATATAAGCAAAAGATGTGTTATTCTTATTCATAGCAACTTTCGGTACAACTGTCATTACATTCAACTTAAAGGGACCATCACTCATGTATCCCTTACCAACATACATACTACTCTTTGTTAATACAAATTTATCAGACTCAAATACAAGCCTAAAACCATTTTTACTTAACAGAGACCCAGAAACTAAATTCTTCCAGATGTTAGGTACATGCAGTATGTTGTTGAGGGTCAATTCTTTCCCTGATGTCATCTTCAAGATCACTTTCCCTTGTCCAGCCACAGTAGAAGTAGAAGAATTTCTCATAAAAAGTTGTTCACCATTTGCAACCTCATTGTAGGTAGTGAACATCTTCTTGTCCGCACATATGTGACGAGTTGCTCCAGTGTTAACCTACCACTCTTTGGGATTTTCAACCAAGTTAGTCTCAGACACCACAGCAGAGAGGTTGATGTCATTCACTCCGTCAGAGATGTAATCCAATTCTGTTACATTGGCCTGATTGGTGGTTTTCTTGCTTGTACTTCCATGATCCTTCTTAGGACGGCGGCAGTCAGAAGCTCGATGTCCAGTCTTGCCACAGTTATAGCATTTTCCTTTGAACTTCTTGTTGCCATTGTTGTCGCCTTGTTTAGGACCATCTCCAGTAAACTTTCTCTTTTTGTTATGTGGTTTATGAACTTGTTCAACCACATTAGCCTTGGACTCAATGGGATTTTTCCCATTCCTCTTTTCAGCCTTTCGGTTATCTTCCTTAATTCTCAGTCTTACAATAAGTTCATCCATGGTCATCTCTTTGCGTTTATGTTTTAAATAATTTTTGAAATCTTTCCAAGCTGGTGGTAACTTTTCCACTAAAGCAGCGACTTGGAATGACTCGCTTAGAGACATTCCCTCAGAATGAATATCATGTAAAATCAATTGAAAACTTTGAACTTGAGAAATTACCGTTTGGAAGTCTACCATAACAAAGTTCAGAAATTTACCGACAACAAATTTCTTCGTGCCGGCATCCTCTGTCTTGTATTTCTTCTCCAAAGAATCCCACAATTTTTTTGCTGTTTTCAGAGGACTATATACATTATACAACATATTGTCAAGGCCATTGAGGTTGTAGTTTCTGCACAGAAAATCTGAATGTTTCCAAGCATCTACAGCGGCAACAACTTGCCGATCACTTTCACCCTCTTTAAGTGCTGGAGCCTTTTCATGGAGAAACCGAGCCAAATTTAGAGTTGTAAGATAGAACAGCATCTTCTGCTGCCATCTCTTAAACTCAGTACCGTTAAATTTTTTCGATTTTTCTCCATGATTTATTGGTACATAAACACGGTTCTGGATAGGGACCGGTGTTGGTGTAACAATCGGAGTACCGCTACCAGATGCAATTTCAGTTGCAGTAGCCATAATCTCTAATTACAAAAATCAGAAAAAATTAAAACACAAATTAATTTTCTAGTTACTAAAACCAGAAAATAAATTATAACACAAAATAATTTTATTTTCCTTGTTACTAAAACTAGAAAAATAAAATATCACAATAATTTTCTGTAACACAAATTAATATTCTGCAATTGTTAATGACACCAATATATTACTACTAATTGTCAAAGAAAAGAGACAGTATATTACTACTATCTGTCAAATAGCATAAACCACTATTTGTTTTTCCAACCAGAATATTACTTTGAAAATACAGAAAATTAAATACAATGAAGACACTAAAAATAATCTGTCTTAAGATTGTTGGACAATCTTCACTGTATTTAAATAGTTTAAATTCTGTTGTGTACTAAACAACAACCAGAATATAAAGAAATAAAAGAAATATGAGAATTTGTTTGATTACAAAAATCAAACTAGAAATACAAATAAATAAATAAAAACAGATTTTATTTTGTTACAAAAACAAAATTAAAATCTGATTTAAATAAATGAATAAAACAGAATAATAAATTAAACAACTTACTTAATTAATTTCTTTGAATAATTATTTGATCAAGTCTAGTGTTTGACACTGTGTCCTTAAGACAGATTCGTCCTCTCCTCGGTGCTTTCAGAATTTGGACGTCTATCTCCCTGGATAAAATGATCTACTACAAACAATAGCAGCACTACAAATTGTTTGTCTTACGAACACACTAAGTGTTTACACTCTTTATTACAAGAAAATAATGCAACAAAATGATGAATGAATTTGCAGAGCTCTTAAGGACGAAAATAATGAATTTTCAGAATAACTAACATCAAATGAGGGTTGTCCTTTTAATAGATGTAATGGTGGCTGCAGATTTTGAATTGAACAGGTGCAAACCTGTTGGTTTTGAATTCAAACAGATTTGAATCTATTGGGTTTATAATTCAAACAGATAAAAAAGGGGAAGGGCACTGTTTGGGTGTACAGTAAAACCAGACCAAAAATAAAATTAAATTCAAATATTTTTTGCCCAAAAAGATTAGTATTGCGCCGAACAAGCCCAACCCAACCACACACCCAAGCCCAGGCCCAGGCCCAGGCGACCGACCGAACGGACAGCGGCAGCGCGCGCGTGGTGATTTTTTGGGTCCAATGGGTCTAGGCCATTTTGCCCATAACCTCTCCCTCTAAAACACTTGGGTACCCCTTAGGGTATACCCCAAGTACCAAACCCATGCCTTATAAACTCATTCTAAACTTCCCACCAAATCAATGTGAGACAAGCCTTATTCAATACCTTTAAGGATTTTTCACCAAAACTCCATTTCTATGGAGCATACTTTGGTTTCAATTTCCCATTCACTCGGTAATGGTTTTGAGCAACCAAATATACCACGTGAATCACAACGCGGCATAGAACGCGTTACCACTTTGACCCGTGAAAATCGACGCACGGGGCCCACCTAAAAAATAGACCAAACTTAGGAATTTTTTTTGATTTTACCTAGAATTTTATAACCATTTCCAACAAAAAGTTATAATGCAGTTATATTAAAATAAAATAAAAATAAAAAATAACATACAAAATAAGAAAAACAAAAACAACGGAATCTCAAAAAGCCAAACAAAAATCCTAACGGGGACTACAATTGAATTAATTATTGGTCTTTAAGTGTTAGTTGTTCAGCTTGTAGATATTGTAGGTAGAGTATAATTGTCTAATTTAATATAATTCTTCTTATATTTATAAATTATCTCATATGGTATATATATAAAATAAAATAAAATAAAATAAAGAGGAAAAATTACTTAACAAAATCCTTAAAAAAAATAAAATAAAATAAAGAGGAAAAATTACTGAACAAAATCCTCTTATTTGATTTGTTAAAGAAATAGAGTGTGCATTAATTATAGAATTTTCTAATCATGTGTTATTATTAGGAAATTCTACAATACATACTCTTTTTTAAGATTTATTATATGTCTTCTTTTTTTTTAATAGAAGGGTTTATTATATGTCTAGTTATGATCTTTTGTGATCTTTAATTATGAATTATGCGGTGTGTAGTTGTGACACATTGTGTTAGGCGTCCGGAAAAATAGATGGATTTCATTTAAAAACTGTTAACTAGGCGAATTCATAAAATTATAGGTAAATTACTCTGGCTTCTTTTGAGGTTTGAAGAAAATACATTTAGTTTCATAATTTTAGCATAATTATATAGACTTCTTTTTTAGTGATTAAAGAGACTATAACTAATGAAAATTGTGTAAAGATGCAAAAATTAACAAGATAAAATATAAAGTTCAATGTAAAAGAAATAACAATATTAATTTTTCATTCTATATGACTAACGAATTACTGATAAAAAAATAAATTAAATGTTGTGTGAATTAAAACAATAAGGAAGTCTAATGTATTTATACTAAACCTGTAACACATGTTGTATTTTTCCAAACCTCAAATGAGTCAATGTAATTTACCCAAGAAATGAACTTGTAAATCAATTAGGAATCCATTGGACATGTTTAGTGCAACTTATTGTAAACTAAAAATTAATAATCAAGAAACAAAAGACAAAAACACACATCACACAACTTTTTGATAATCATTATTTTTCAACTTATTTAAACTAATTATGCCTAATTAGCTACAAGCAGGACAATTGGTACAAATTTGAACAAAACAAAAATATATATACTCTATCCGTTCCAAAATAATAATTCCTTTTGGGGGAATTTAATTTTTTTTATAGTACAATTATTACACTTTAAAAATATTATTGTTAAAAAAATTGCCCTTTGATAATATTTTTTAGAAATATCGATTGTCATAATTGTACTTTTTGTGTTGTTAATAAATTTTTTAAAAAAAAAGATAAAATAAAAAACTCATATTTTTTTTTCCTTAATTTTTGAAAAGGAACTAATATTTTAAAACAATAAAAAACAAAATAAAAAACTAATATTTTAAAACAAAAAAGAGTATATAAAACTATAAGCAACTTAAATAAATCGCATCAAACCACCATATTGAAGTATTTACTCAGTCGACGATTCTCTTTGATTGTTAAAACTAGTGAGGTGGACCCATTTAAAGCAGTGAACCTCGTTGTTCTAACCAATAAGAGAAGAGTGTGGATGAGTGAATAAAATCGGACTCAAAAATCAAAATGAGGAAAGTGAGAAAGAAACTCTTGCATTTGGGGTCTTTGCACGACAGACCATTCCAAGGAAGAAATAGAGAGAGCCAATTGGGATCATTCAAGTCAACTGCCGTGTTGAGCAGATCTTTCAACATCATCTATTCTAAATTATATTGAATTCTGCACTAACACAAAGTTCAAAAAACTGATGAGTTTTTAGGAATATCATTTCACTCCTGTTTGTTTTGTTTACGCTTTTGTGTGTGGTTGTTTTGGTTTTTTATTATTTTCCGGGAATTTCCATTTCAATGGATGTTCCCTTCATTCTTCCTATCTTTCTCCTCTCTCATCTTCTTCTTCTTCTTCACTCTTTCTCGGCCCAAGAAGACAACAAAATCCGGATTACTTGTCCCAAATCCTTCGACTGCAAACCATTCCATCAACCACTAAGCTTTCCATTATCCAATTCTACGTATTCCCAATGTGGGTTGTGCACGGTAACTTGTGAACCGAATCAACCTCCACAAATTCAACTGGGAAATGAAGGGCCGTGGTATGATGTAGTAGCAATAGAGGAAAACTTATCCGGTAACATTTTCCAAATCCATGACAAATTTCTCCAAACCCAATTAGAAAAGAAAAGTTGCAATGTCTTCAAGAATTTGAGTTTTCCCAATACTTCTTCTATTTCATTTACAATCTATCCATATCTCACCTTCTTCAAATGCAACAAGAATTTTGATCCTGTTTCCCCCAAAGAAGATCATTTCACGGATTTTCATAATTACACAAACTGCGAAGACTACAATTTGTACTATAAATATCCAGATGATGATCTGTTATCCTTTCCTGCTCCTCTTCCACCTAGCTGCTCAGTAATTCAGCTGCCCGTGAATTCATCCAACACGAATCCTAATGTCGGTGACCCATTCAATCTGTTAACCGATACCTTCTCTCTCGTATTGCACGTGTCTGAGGATTGTCTGAAGTGTTACCAGGGAGGAGGTCAATGTCAAAATGACAACCAGAAATTTCACTGTGCAACCAATGAAGGTATTGACATAACTACAAATTAATGACCTGCCGTTATGCCTAGTATTGTTTGTTTAGCAATATTTCACAACCTGAATTCAGAGTTTAGATTTTCATGTAAGCTTCGGTTTTCAATTTTCAAGGTTTTCATTTGCTGATTTCAGTCAATCAAAACGTGCCCATTTCTGTATCATAGTTTGTTTTTGTGTGAACACTGTTTTAAGTTTCTGTGAAATACCTAACTGTTGGGGTTTGGTTGGGCAATGAATATAGCTAATAATTCAGAATTCTGATTCCTTGAGGTATTGAAATTTCTTGATACTTTCATGTAAGAATACTGAGAGAGGGTTTTAAAAGTCAATGATGGGTCAAGTCCATGTAGTGCTGGGTCATGAGGAAGGTGAGTAGGAAACACCTCTGGAATTTCTGTATAAGCATACTATTGTTTCTGAATTAATCCAAAAACCCTATCCAAAAATCTTCAATCTTGCCTTTCAATTAGAAACTAGTGGTCAGGCAAATGTGCGTGCAACTATATTAAAAATAATAACCACAATTTTGCATTTTTAAAATTATTATAATGAATTAAAAAAAAAAGAAAATTCATCAAGAAAATTAAGTTTAAAACTATATTGAAATGGAATACACCTAAACCTCAAGAAAAAGTGAAAAAATATTAAGTAAAATAAGAAAAAATACTACGTTCTTCAAACAAATTAGCTGAGTGAAGTTATTTACCAACGTATTTTATTTACTTTTCTTCTCAGGTATCAAAATTCTAGGCAAGCAAACACTAGAGAAAAAAAGCTATTCATCTTTGTTCTATCTTAAGGAGCAAAAAAAAAACATAGATTAGCTATAGTTTGTTTGTTGTGGACCCAATTTGGTCCATCTTAGTAATTCGAACTGTTTATTTAAAAAAAAAAAAAAAAACATAGATTAGCTATAGTTTGTTTGTTGTGGACCCATTTTGGTCCATCTTAGTAATTCGAAATGTTTATTTTATAGGTTCACAAGAAAATTGTTCATACAAAAAAATCAGGTTGATCAAACATCGGTAGCTATATGATTGGATTATAAAATCATGAAAAAAAATTAACATCTTATTCTTAAAATCATATTTGCCATCCTTTTTTTTTTTTTGGGAATAATTTTGTGATCCAATCATGTGGTTACCATCAATTTGTTTTTTTACAATAATAATTTCTTAGTAAGCCTTACAAAATGAACTATTTGGATAATCGAAGTGGACCCAACGTGGGGCCCACAGTGAGCCAACAACACCCTCTAGTCTAAATGAGCCAATGACACCCTTCAATCCAAATAATGGACTAGAAAGAAGCTAAGTCTCTTTAATTAAAGGTAGTTTATCGTTTAATAAAGCTCTAGTGCATCCAGGACATGAAAAGTAACTTGCTTTGAATTCAACTTTTCTTTTTTCCCCTTATTTTTAAACATCCAACTGATGTTTTTCTCCTTGATAGTGGTTTCAAAAAGAAGGAAGTTGATATTGATTCTCGGAACAGGTAATATGCATTTTTTTATCAATATTTATATGCTTGAGTATTTTTAGCTAATTTTTTGGTGTTACCACGTTAGCTTAATTTTTCTTGTTTTGCAACTCCTTCAGCTATTGTTGGAATTGTGATTATAGTAATCCTATTGTTCTGCATCATAAGGAAACTCGCACAAAATGATCAATCCACATTCTTTTGGAAGAATAAAACAGAGAGCTACCAAAATGTTGAGGCCTTTCTAAAGAATTGTGGATATCTTACTCCAAAAAGGTACACTTATTCTCATATCAAGAAAATGACCAACTCCTTCAGAGTTAAACTAGGTCAAGGAGGCTATGGTTGTGTCTTCAAAGGAAAGCTAGACAATGGATGCCTTGTGGCAGTGAAGGTTCTAAAAGGGTTGAAAGGCAGCGGAGAAGAGTTCATTAACGAGGTTGCAACCATTAGTAGGACTTCTCATGTTAATATTGTGACTCTTATGGGGTTTTGTTTTGAGGGTCGAAACAGAGCTCTCATATATGAGTTCATGCCTAATGGATCCCTTGAAAAATTCATTCATGATGGGAATTCCTTGACATATCACCAATTAGGGTGGGAAGCTTTGTACCAAATTGCAGCTGGTATTGCTCGAGGATTAGAATACTTGCACCGTGGTTGTAACATGCGAATTTTGCACTTTGACATAAAACCTCATAATATTCTTTTAGATGAGGACTTTTGCCCAAAGATCTCTGACTTTGGCCTCGCTAAATTATGCCCACGGAAAGAGAGTATTGTATCACTATTGGGTGCCAGAGGAACAGCCGGCTATATTGCCCCAGAAGTATTTTGTAGAAACTTTGGGGGAGTTTCACACAAGTCAGATGTCTATAGTTACGGAATGATGGTTCTAGAAATGGTTGGAGGAAGAAAGAATATTGATGTCGAAGTTGATCGTACTAGTGAGATATACTTTCCACATTGGATATACAAGCGACTTGAGCTAGATGAAGAACTTGGAGTGCATGGCATTATGAATGATGAGGCAAATGAAAGTGCAAGGAAGATGATTATAGTTGGCTTGTGGTGTATACAAACAGATCCCTTGCATCGACCATCAATGAGCAAGGTGGTGGAGATGCTAGAAGGCAGCATGGAGTCCTTGCAAGTGCCGCCTAAGCCTTACTTATCTTCTCTCCCAAGATCAACTCCAGATTCTTCAACTACATTCATGCCTTAACATTGTACTATTCACAATGCATACTTCTATTGCTAAGGTAATGCACTATTGAAAATTAGATAAATTGAGTCTTTTTTTTTTCCCCTCTCTCTCTCTCTTTTTAATGTATGTGATTGCTGCAATTCAAATTTTCCTAACACTGCTTTTGGTTGGGAGTTTTGGGAAGGGATTAGAAAAGGAAAAGAAAAAAGGTGTGTAAAACTAGATGAAATATATGTATATTTTATTCACGTTTTACATACTTTTTACTTATTCCTTTCCAAATCTCTCAACCAAATACAACGTAAAGGTTTAAACTAGTTACATTCAATATGGTATCTCATTATCTTATATGAATTTAAAAAAACAAAACAAAAAAAAAGTATTGTGAACCTCTACAAATTATACAAGTACACCTATTTCATAGTAGAATTAACCAAGATTTAGAAAGTAGTCTAGAACGAAAGTACCAGATGTTTTGTCAATTTGATAAAAGCTCTCACTTGGACTTATAGAACACCCTATTTTATAGCCAAATTTGTACGTTATTTGCATTTTCCATATATTCTAGAGTATGCCTGATTACTCAGTTGATAAACTTTACCTAATTACTCAATTGATAGAACTTTAATGAATTCCAATAAATTTGGAACTTTTGAGACCCCAAAAATATTTTTGCCTCAGTCAAGCCCAGTACCAATGGTTGAGTTGAGGAAGGTGAATGTGATCACTCATTAGTTCATTTGCACTAGGAAAATACTATTCTTATAGAAGTTTTATACATAATTTTCACCAAAATGATATGAGTGGCATTTTGGTAATTAAGGGTTTGTTTGGGAAGTGTTAAATTAATATACTTTTTGATTTTTTACGAAAAAATGTGAAATGTGGGTTAAAGTTGAAGTGATGTAGTAGAGAGGTGATCTGACCCAAATAAGAAGTAATGTGACTCAAATAAGATGGTTGTGACCCAAATAAGATAATTTGCTAAAATAGTACATGCAAAACAAAGCCTAAATATTATTTTAAAGAGCACTATATTTTTAAGTGATAAAACCATCATTTTGTATGCAAATTATGAATACTTTTCTGTTTTCATTAATCTTTTGCAGCACGTTTAATTTGTTGGTGTACTCAATGTGCTGCTTCCAACGATGGTTGCAAAAGTAGGTTTGGGAATGCGATGCCGAATGTCATAAAAGACGTCAATAAAACCTTCAGTAACACAAATTAATTTTGAGAAAGATGGTGTAATTATGTCTGACAGAATCATATGACAATTTATGGCTTGAAAGTTTGTGGAATTGTAAAATATGGTGAATTATGTTTATGCAAATTAGGGTTACGGAACTACTTGAATTCATTCTTGTTTAGAATGGGGGATACGCAACAAAATAAGAACTTGGAAAATTTGATACTGATCAGCTGGTTGTAAAGTACATATGGTAAATGAGTAACATATTTGGTGAAATTTCTGCTTCATATAAAAAAACTGAGGGCTTCATTTTTATAATTTTGTATCCCGTAGCGTTTAAATATTGGATTTGAAGAGTAATTTGTCGAGAAAAAAGAAAGCATTAAAATGTAAACTAAATATTTGTTATTTTCTTTCTTTTTCCTCTGCAATTCTCTGCACAAATTCAGGATTTAAATACAACTTTACTATTATGTTAGCAATTTACTACAAGTTCTGAACATAAAATTATCTAAATAGTTCTAGTTTGTATCTTCTTCTTTGGGTGGAAACCATATAAATGTTTAATTAGATTAAAAAACCATTGAATTACAATGGTGGGACGTTTTGAAGAAGAACATAATCCAGGGATTACTGATGGCAAAGGTCATCATTTTTTTCTTGCCAGGTTTTTTTAGTGCTCGTTTAGGAATTTGGCTTTTTTAGTGGCATTTTGATTTTTTTTCTTTTCTATGAGGTAAAAAAAATTAATGTGTTTGGAATGATTTTTTTGATTAAATAAATAGTTATGAGGAAAAAAATTAATTAATTGATAGGTACGCATGATGTGACTTTTTGCTAATGGGGTTGAATTTGTTAAATTTTTTGCTTTTTTTACCAAAAAAGTCTCTTGGCAAACCGGGCCTAAAATTCGAAAATTTGCAATACCTTCTTGACCATAATTTTGTACGAGCTAGAGCCCTACTTAAAATTATTGCTAGTTAAAGTCTCTAAATTTTTAAAAATTTTAAGAGTAAGTTTACTTTTCACATGTTTTAGAGCTCACTGTTAGCAACATCTTCACTGAAGTATCAACAAAAATGGAGGCTTAATCCTTCTAGCGGCCTGTTTGGAGTGTTGGCACATACTATAGAGATGCAAAAACCTAAGGGTATGGATTGTTTATCATTTTCTAGGATTCTTCATGAAAAACATCACATATGAGGACATGGTTAATTACTTTTGTCTCATTAGAATCATACATCTCAACACCATGATTATTTACCAGGTTAAGTTACTTTTTTAACTCATTAGAATCCTAATCTTCTTTAGTTTTCCACTTTCATGTATGTTAATTACTACTTTTTTTTTGGCTTCTTCTTGTTGCCCATTTACTTTTTGCTTTGTTTATTTTATTTTATTTTTAAATCAATGTTAATTTGGGGTGATGGTGGTTTGCTGTTGGTGCTCAATTCACTACTAAAAAAAATACTTTTTGCGACCGCTATAAACCGTCGCAAATAATAAAAAATAGTCGCAAAAGACTTTTTGCGACGGCCCATGCGACGGCAAATGGGGGTCGCGAATATGAGGGTGGCAAATACTTTTTGTGACGGCAAAGCAACGGTCGCAAATTATTTGCGACCACCTAAACTACTTATGGCGACCCCTATTTTGCCGTCGCAAAAAACAAAGAAAAATACTAACATGATCTTTGGCGACCATCTTGTTACCGTAGCAAAAAATTAAAAATAAAAATAAATAAATAAAAGTGTAGCGTTAAGCACTCTAGGAATAATAATGACAAGAATTCAGACAGTGTAGCATTTTATAGTTTTATTGAACATTCTATTTGAGTCTCAAAATTTGAGCCATATGTAAAAGTTATTACAACTAAAAACTTGGAAAAAATTCTTTTATGAAAAAAATACAATCCAGAATTGGCCAATCTTCTCATCAATTTTCTTGCTCGGGTGTTTCTCCACTCTATCAATGAACTGGCATAACACCTTGTATTCTCCAGTGCAAGAAATGAAAGCAATATGACGAGGGGAAAAGCTCCTTCATTTACACGCATTTGTTCTCCATTCCATAGTAAAAAAGAAATACTTAAATCTTGATATGTCTCTCATACTAGAAAAGGCATCCAATAGTTTTTCAATCTTGAGCCGATTGATAGAAAGGGACCACCGACATATTATCAGTAGAAGACATAAGAAACTAATTGATGCACCTTCACTTTCTCATCTCGAATATGCTCAGGTGTAAGAGAAATAGGCTTCTCCATAGCAATGAGGCAAAGAATCTGCAGTTGGCAAGAATATATGTCTGTTACATCTTAAAGAAAAATGATAAACAAATTGGAGGGACTGTTGTGAATAAATTTATATATCTATCATTTTAATATTATCTACTCTAACTTGATTTCAAGTATTCATCCACAAATACATGCGAATTTTTACAAAAACTAGCTCCAAATCATACTGCATAACTCACTAGGACGGTCTAGCACTTCAGTTGTTGCCAATCCAAAGTATATAGGCTTTTTCACACCACCATTTCCGTGTTTAAAAGAAGAGATGACCACTTTTAAGTAGACCGAAGGGATAGACTAACATGTTTATACCTCTTCTGCCAATGATTTGAAGACATGAAAAGGAACAATCCACTCCGGACAATCAACAGCATCCTGCAGCAAAAGGTTTGGTGTTTCAACATATTTGTGGTAGATCTAAACATAAAATGCAGACTTAATATAGCAATAGAACTGTATTTGGTTGATGTCGGTTAATAGTGACAGCCTCCATGCTGCAGTCATGGGCCACTATTTTAGTATGGGCCACCCTGTCTATAGAGCACATTCACAAAAAAAACTTCCAATTTTTAGCTTTATTATTTGAGGTTTGACTACATTTATAATACTCTGTTTAGATAATAAGATAAGAAAATAATGAAATCAAGAAATTAAATTTTGTTTTTCAGTTTTCTTGCATTTTTTCTTAGTAGATCACTCTGCAATATCAAAATCTGTCAAAATTGAAGTGTTGAATATTTAGTAGTTAAACAATGGTGGATGGCTTTGGATTATCCTAATGAAATATTCTATAGTAGTAATAGATTTAGGCTTAAAACAAAATAGACTATTTAAGTTACATAGAATAAAATATTATATCTAATCCATAATTATTAAAACCACATCCGAAGGCTTAAGGGGATGAAGGCTAAATGCAATTGTATCGGATCTGACTAATATTGGGTTTATTTGGTAAAAGCAAAATTCATTATTGGGTCTGGAATTGCATATATATGTGAACAGACAGTTACCTAAATTGCTTTCATAATTGGATTTTAATGTGCAATTTGGTGTTTGATAAATCAAAATGGGTTGGCCCAGGCGGTATTGGGATGGAGAATAAATAGGTTTTTTAACGAACAAACAAACAAATAAATAGGTTTTTTATTACTCGAACTTATTACCAAATTCTTTATATTATTATCAATTTTAATGATATCATACACGTGCCACACAGACACAGAAATCAGAGAAAGGAATGGTTACCTCAAGGTGGAACTTGTACTTTATACCAAAGGGGCTTGAAGATTTAAATTTCTAAACCCAAAAACAGAAATAATCCCTAATTGTCAGATAGTGTCTCCAATGGTAAAATGAAAACGATAATGACTAATACCCCAAAGATCTACATGTATGAGGCAAAAAAAAATTACCTTCTCAGAAAATTCTTCATCAAAACGTATCCAGTAAACACTATTACGAAAAACCAGTCCTTCGGTTGCATACTCACAGAGAAAATCACATCAACCAGAAATTGAAAAAACTGGTGTAACTTGCCAACAGTTTCAACACTTGTATTCTAAAAATCAAGTAAAGATCTTTTTGGTTCACACATGCATATTATCTTGTTCAGAAAACAAAAAGTTCATAACGATTAGGCCTTTTTTAAATTAATCAAATTACTTGACATCAAAAAATTGAAGGGAGAAGACAATCGATGATTATGAGTGACAGGTCACCTCATATTAAATTGGAAAACGAATTACAGTAGCTGGTCAGATTTTTTTTTTTTTTTGATCTATCAACATATTTTCAAGAATAAAGCTGTCTTATGCATGTTAAGAAGAAGAGGATGTCTACAAGAATAAACATGTTAAATAAATAAACAAAAATGAAGAAGAAGAGGATGTTTACAAGAGACAAACACTCTTACGTAAGAAAGCTGCCTTAAGCAGTGTATCACATCCAAAATCATCACAAAACTACAGATTCATTTTGAAGAAACAAATATATAGGACTCTAGGCAAAGACCCACACACATTTTGATGTCAAAGCCACAATGATTTGTCTAGTTCAGAGATACAAATTCTGCTTAAACAAGATTAAGTTATTTGCCAACTTCATGTGCAAAAACTCGTGCTATCATTTCACAGGAACACCAACAACTTTTACTCCCTTATCACGCCCGCCTCCCCTGAGGGTCATAATACATGGGCATCATCCAGATGATAAAACAACAGATGGTGATAAAACAGGAAATCAGTAGCTTGTTTTAATACATAACAAGACCATAATAAGAGATCCATGACAGAGCATTATAATCAATAGCTTGTTTTAATGCATAACAAGACCATCAGTCTGGATACAATGAATAACTGCACATATGATTTTCACATAATGGGACATAATATGAGATTCTATGTCCCATTTTGTGAAAGTTTTATGTGATCATAAAATAATCCCTCTTTTAAGATATCGTGGTATTTTGGTGTCTTATGCTTGATTAAGGCCTCGTTTGACAAGTGATTATTTTAGGCTAAAAGTCAAAAAATTACTAAAAAAATCAAAAAAATTATAACTTATACCAAAAAGTCAAATATTTCATTTTCTCTTTATTTTTTACACATCTTTTTAAAAAAAAAACCCAAAAAGTTATTTCAAATATATTAATTTTTTTTTATCTCATATATTAGCCAAAAAGTTAAAAAATTACTAAAATAGCTTGTCGGGCCTAAATTAAGCATGCCTAGTGTGTGTGTGTATGTGTGTGTGTGTGAGAGAGAGAGAGAGCAGATGGCCCTTCAACTCAAGGGCCCAGACTAGTTGATTATTGTGGCACCTCTTTGGGACAAAGGAATGCTAGAATCATTATATGGAAAAGTTCAATATATTTATCACAAAAGTATCCAAAAATGAATCACTTAAAATAAATATGATCTATGTACTTTTTAAGATACCTTTTTTAGATACAGAAGTTTACTTTCGATCATTACGATCATTGGGATCACCCTAGATAGAGGAAATGGTCATGAGTTTCGCTACCAGGACAGGCTGTAGAAAATGATGTTGGTCAAAGAAAATTTTGAAATCTTAAATATGTGTTATTTTTTAGAACTGAGATACACTGCTGCAATAATATCAGTATATGCCCAATGAAAGATTAAGATCAACAAAGTCAAATCTGTTCTTCATTTCCAACTCAATAAAAATAAATAATAAAAAAATCGGAGTTATGATTCTTTCTAGAACAGGGCCTGTGTATGAAAAAAATAGGACCTAGTGCACATGATTATTTCTAGAACAGGGCTTGTGAATGAAAAAAATAGGACGATAACAAATTCAACATTTAGATGACAAAGACGATGATAACAATAATGATGGCCTCATTTGGTGTAACTTTTTATAATCCAAAAGTTAATAATCAAAACACAAAAGTTAAAACACCCCTCCCAATTTCCCCATAATAAACTTTTACAGCTATTGTCATCTCATTACAGTATGCATAAGTTGCAACAAATACCGACAGATTTTGAAGAGAAAAAATCACAAGCAGCCTCAAATAAGTTGCACCAAACAAATCATAAAATTGATTTCATAAATTCAAATTAGAATTCCAGAATTTGATCCACAAACAATGAATACAAGCAGACAATGAAATTCAAATCTAGGTTGCAACACTAGCGAAATTAATTCTAAATGTAGAAAAAAATCATTTCAGATTCAAACTCTCTGGATCATAATACGGATTTGAGTTACAGTAAAATTCACTGATAAATTACTGAACAAAACAGCATCCAGATTCAGCATACTATGACTTATTCAAAGCAATGATCTAATTCTGAATATGAGAAAACCGTGAGTTCAAATTATAATTCCAGAATTCGATCCACAAAAATGAAGATAAGTAGATAGTGAAATTTATATATAGGTTGTTATGATCATCTGTAAATGAAAATCAAAAGTTGAACTGTACCAGTAGAAGCGAGTCCTGCTCGGTTATCTCCGATTCCTTCACTTTCTGTACAACAACCTGATCGATCGAGAAGATTGCAGTGAGATTAGCGGATAAGCAACAAGTTAACGAAGAGATTTCTCTGATCTCACAGAGAAACTGAGACAAGAGAGAGAGAGAGAGAGAGAGAGCAATTCAGAGCACACTTGATTTCTCGGATCATTACAGAGAAAGTTGAATCGATGAAGATGTGTTTAGGCTTACCGATTATGAAATCTTCAACAGTAGTGGACTTGAGAAAGTTGAATCGATCGACAGATTCGAGCGAGAGAGGTAGTGAGATTTGAGCGAGAGTCGAGCGAGAGACAGATTTTGAGAGGGAGAGAAAGAGAGAGCCCAGACTTGGAAAAAAAAAGGGAGGGGATTGAGAGGGAGAGAGAGAGTCAGGAAAATGAGATGTTTTATTTATTTTTATTTTTGTAAGAACACGATTGGGTCAGGCAAATGAGATGTTTGATGTCTAAAAATGATTTTTTGCGACCGTTAAATAATCAGTCGCAAAAAAATAGACGCAAAAAGTCCTATTTCTAGTAGTGATTATTGTGCTTTGGTGGTAATGATTGGTGGTAGTGGTGTTTTTCAATTCTCAAATTTGTAGTTTTTAACCCATAAATTTTAAAATTTCTCTATTAAAAAATAGAATTGTAACAACATTTATTCCTGTTATAATAGTGAAATTTCAATGGCTTTAATCAGAGAACCGGATCACTGTACAACAAGGGTAAACCCGGGATCGCTATAATTAAAAAATAGAATTGTAACAACATTTATTCCTGTTATAATAGTGAAATTTCAATGGCTTTAATCAGAGAATTTCACTAACTTTTTGCTTTTGCCTTTGCAAAGTAAAATGACAAAGTTATATTTTATATAATAAGTGGTTTTACGTAATTTTGTAAAATTAATTCTAATAAATTAATATAATTATACTATTGCACAAATAAATACTTTGTATCTTACATCTCTAATCCAATCTAATACCACGACACCAGTAATATCATTACTCAATCTCACTGTACTCTTAATTGCTCTTGGCTTAATCTAACAGTCAAACATGATCTTACGAGAATGCTAATCCCATACAATTTTTCATAACTAAACTTAATTTATAAAGAAAGGTAAATTATATCATTAGTTCTCGTAGTTTAAACAAAGTGTCACTTTAGTCCCCGTAATTTTTTTATATATACACAATTAGTTAGGACCCACGTTAGACAGATCTATAGCAACCTCCGGTCGAGTGAGATTGAGGCTCACTGCCACTAGTAGTCCAAGATAAAAACCCTCTATAAAAAGCTAAGATATAGACAAAAAACCCTAAACTCTTCATCTCTACTCTTTCTAGCAAAGATATGAAAGGGTCTTTGGCTGGCATCACAACGGTACCCCCAAAGACTTATGTTATCTTCTGTGGCAGGTTATTAGATCGGATCAAAACCATACAAATATGAGTTTCATCAATTTCAATTTACACCATAAACTTTCAATAAGCTAGATTAGGGTATGGTTAGGGATGAATTTAACTAATTAGTATTCCTGATTTGCTTGAGGTATTCAAAATTCTTGATAATTTCAATTTTCATGTAAGAATGCTGAGAGAGAATGAGAGTTTTAAGAGTCAATAACGGGTGAAGTTCACATACTGATGGGTCACTGAAGAAGGTGAGTAGGAAACACTTGAGTCCTTGACCAACCAACCAATGCAGTGATTAGTGAACAAGTCTTCTTATAACAATATATTGCAAAGTAAACTAGCGTGTCAAACAGGGGTAATTTTAAATGCACTCCAAATTAGAGTTGAGTATGAAGATATAAAGTGAAGAGAGTAGGTAGAGAATAGAAGATTGAGTTTGATTATGAATTAAGTGTTTGATTATGAATTAAGTGTCCAAAACACTTTGATTTATATTTTTTTCAATATTAAGTAATTTTTGGTCATTTTAAATAGGGACGAAATAGTAATAAAAAATATTCATTAAGTTAGTGCTTAACCTAATTTTTGAGGTGCAAATAGAGCCTATCGGCAAGAAGGGGCGATCGCCCCTCTTTCGATTTCAAAAAAATCATTTATTATAGTGTTATTAACTACAATTATCTATATATTATAGAGACTTGTCCCTTCTAAATTTTTTTATTTTAAAATTTTTTAAGTGGTTTGCACTCTATATCTATAAAACATAGGATCAAAATATAACATAATAGACAAAAATAATAAAAGAAATTAATTTCTTATAACTAGTATTAATTACAAGTCCAAGTTTCTAAAAAATAAAATAAATTATCAGCTAATTCTTAATTGCGTTCATTGATAAAGACATTATACAAGATTTTATTATCAATTCTATCATAGACATTTTTCATCTTACTTTCACTTTTTATACTAGTAGAAATTGATATTATAATTCATATTTTCTTTTTAAAAATTTTGTTAGTATATATATGTTTGCCTATGTGAAAATAATCAGTTCGTCCCTGCTCACATAGACCTCCTTCCAAGTAATAGAGAATTTTGTTCTTCTCCCACTGTGTTTGGTTGTTTCATCATCTGTTAAATTGTGAAT